TGCACCTGGAAACAGCAGCAACCTGCAGAGCCTGCGTGGTATGGCCGCGAAGCCAGGATTTGTTGTTGGAAGCCACCAGGGCTCCCACGTTGTGTTCCTTCAGCAAAGCTGACCTCTACAAGGAGGAAGGCTGCCTTCCTTCCAACCACCTCTTCGTGTCCTTCCGTGGGCGTCCCCAGCTTGCAGCAGTGACCACTGGCTACCGCCCACCCTGCCACATGCCCCCGTCTCTTCGAGGCCAGCCTTCTTCCCACACGGACCTCAGCCATTCCAGGTTTTCTCCATTCACTAATGGAGTAAAAGCACAAATACAAGCATTTACCCTTTTATTTTTGTTTCTGTTTTATGAGACAGGATCTCACTGTGCAATTCAGTCTGGCCTTGAGCTCTTGGTAATCCTCCTGCCTCAGCCGCCTCAGTGCTGAGATTACAGGTGGGAAGCACCAGGCTTACCTTTAGTATGCTTTTTTAAAAATGCTTTTTAGGGGGCCTGGCCCTAGCTCAGTCCTTCTAGTGGCTGCTTCCACAAAGCTGTCAGCCTCAGGTTGCTGTAGTTCGATCCCCACAACACTCCAGCCAGCCCAACCTGCCCTGAAGGCATTCAGAGCAATAAATAAATAAATAAATAAATAAATAAATAATAAATTTTTTAAAAAATAAAATAAAAATGCTTTTTAGCCTACTAAACTTAGGATGGAGTCCAAATTCCTAATTAATGCACATGTACCCTTTTTAATTTGAGCATTGAGTGTATTTGCCACACTATGTGAGAATATTTAAGTCTACACACATAGGACCAAGTCCATAATATAGAAGTCAGTCAGCATAACATGCTAAAGATGAACAACATAAATGGAACAAACATGAGGTGAACACAGGTAAAAAGGACAGAACAAAAAAGCAGAGCTTGTTGGCAGAAAATCAGGAAAGAACAGAGTATGTTCTCAAACATTAACAAGATGCAAATAATGCCACCTCCAGATCGGCAAGTGTGTGTCATCCTTAAGGCAGAATCCGTGCTATCCCTACCAAACACAGACACATCACTGCTCAGAACAGAAGCCTACAGGCTGGGGAGATGGCTCAGTAAAATAACCACTTGCCTGGCAAGTGCAAGGGCCTGAGTTCAATCCCCCGTTCCACCAAAAAAAAAAAAAAAAATGTGGACGTTCTTTCTGTCTCTTTTTCTTGCTAAATCTGACAGCTCATGTAAGTACAGTGGAGAGTAAGAACTGAACTGAGCCTGCCATCACCTGTTGGTATTAATTATCGCAACTAGATGCTCAATAAATATCCATTAGCAGTCCAGGGAGATAGCTCAGCAGTCTAAGTGCCTGCTTGGCAAGTGCAAAGACCTGGGTTCAAACCCCAGTACCGCATGTCGCATTGGCTCTGAAACCAGGTGTGGTGGCACACTCCTGTAATCGCAGCACTGGGGAGAGTGAGACAAGAGGATCTCTATGAGTCTGAGCTGTGAGACCCTGTACCAAATTAAATAAAGATTTA